TTATGATGGCCATCAGACTAGACTACACCATGGACTGCCCCAAGCAAATATCCCAGTCCACGGGTTAACTGAGTGTTTGCAAAGTTGTGTGTGATCACTGGATAAAACTGCATAGATGTAAAGTGTCTAAAAAAGGGTGATAATTCTGCACTGATCACAGACATGTAAAAGGCTCTTTTTTTTTTCTTTTTTTCCTTTTTTTTCCCCCCACATTATGTGCATTACTATGAATAGAAGTATGAATGAAGCATCCAGGGGCCCAGTATAATGCTGGGGAACACTGGAAAGTGTAGAAAGGCGACATTTAACCTTCACTCTGAAGAACTGCACAGTGTTCATTCTTCTACAATGCAGTGGTGCCACCTACCCTCCTTTTACTCCAGATTCTCAAGGTTTGGGACTCCTACCATGGGGTGGGTTTGCAGCAAGCAAATTTCTCATGTGCAAGTCAGGACTTCAATTGCAAGGCACTTGGCTGCTTGGGGCAGCAACCACCTTTTCTCTCTTGTTTGAATCTGTGCCAACAGACAGAAGAAGAGCAGGGCTTGTGGAATCAAGGGGTACCTGGTTCCTGTTCCCCGCAGGGCCAGAAGCTCAGCCAGCAGGGGTGGGTTGCTGCCTCTGTTTCCACTATTTTTACCATAGTTGACCTGAAGTCTTTGCTGTTTAAAATGCAAAAAGTCCCCCAGAGCATGAGGAGCAGCACCAAAGCCCTCTCTCCTAGTAGGTGTCTCAGCTTTGCAGGTGCAAACTCAGAGATATGCTTGTGTCTTGGAGATCTTGGAGATTTCTACCTCTTGGGTTTATCCTTCAGTCTTCTATCAAGTTGCTGGTGACTGGAGGTGTAAAGGTGGTAGGGACCCACAGATTTACACCCTTGTGTGAACAGGCATACGTCTCTCTCTCTCCATAGACTATGTTGTCTCCAGCACAGCAGAAGCAGCCCATAGTGTACAACTCCCTCCTGCCCAAAATAGGGCTGCCCTTCTGTTCCTTGTCTAGAAACCAGTAAAAACTTTGTGGGTCTGCCCTGAGGGCTTAGTCCTGGCTCCATGTAGAGAGTGGTGTCAAGGGGGATTTTCCTGCACCATTTGTGGGGATGAAATGAATTGCTCTCTGAGGCTTTGTACAGGTTGCAGAAGGAGCTGATGTTCTTTAGAGTTTGTCACCTACTCCTCAGATGAGTCACACCTTGAGCAGTTTGTTGCATTTTTAGCAGGAAGTCTGCAGAAAGGCTGGGGCAGGACCCAGAAACCCTGTGTCCCAGATCGAAATATAACCTCTTTTTTTTTTTCCCCCCTGTAAAAAAGCACCATGTGTTTATAAACCACTCTTTGCCAAATGAATTCTTCATAAAGAGAATTACACTGTAATAAGCTGCATCATTAAAAAGAAATGTTTCTGTGAGCAGCAGAGCCTGGTTTCCTGCGGTTTGGTGTCTCGAGGTGGGATTAGCTGGTGTCTAATGAGGAGCACTCTGGCTGAAGCCTTTTCTGCTGTTCATAAAGGCAATGTCTCATGTGGGTTCTCTTGTGTCTATAATACATCTGGGATCAAACTGCCATTGTTTAGGTTGTCTCCTATCTGACAATGTAATACTGCCCAAGCAGCAAACTGTTCCTCCCTGGAGATGCAAAGGGGTCATACTTTTCTACCCTGCTCAGCTGAAAATTAAAGTCTTTGAAACATCTATCACACAGTTAAATACGACTGAAACTGGCCAACAGGCTAAAAGATAATTGAGAATAATACTGGACTGACACAACGGTATAATAAACCTAATTTTATTAGGTAATCGGTTAATAAATGATGGAAAAGTAAATGCTGGAGCAGATTAAACATGGAAAAATGTTCATAAATATTTATTCAACTATTTAAATGGACTCCAGGTGACAGTTTTATTCCTGATCTGCATTTCAATTTCAGAGGTTTGATTCACAGCCATATGAAAGACCAACAAGGGCACCAGCACTACAGTAGTTACGCTCATGCCTCAAAAGTAAGAGTAAAATAGTAGTTTTCTGAGAGACGTTTTTACACAGAGATGGCACTTTTTAAATGTTTCCTTCAGAATATTACAAAATTTAGAATTTAGAAAGAGGAATGCTGAATAATTCAGGAACCATATTTTGGAAGATGATTCTCATTGAGTCAGAGAATTCAAATTGATCATATGGTTTGTGCTCAATTTTCAATAAAACTGAAGTGAACAAAGTCAGAGCAAAAATCCTTTGCTGAAGTGATTCACGGAAATGTTTCACAAATGTAAGATGTGAAAGGGAATTTTCAATTATTTGCACACAAACACAAAAAAATCACAAATGATGGAAAGAAGAAATTAATTCAATATATTGAATGAATTGTTCATTTTAATTTATTTTTCCAGCTCCTGAGTCATAGAAATGTGCTTATCATCAAGTGATTTTTGGAGATACTTGTATTTTTTTACCATGGATGCAGTTTAGATGGATGAGCTACCATTGCTCTCCATGCTTATCAAATTAGGAGAATACATTTCTAAATTCAATTACATCCTCAGTGGAAATGGTTTCTCTGACTCTAGTAATCTTTGGAGACGAATTATACACAGTCTATAAAGCTTCACATTTCAAAACTTAATTTTGAATATTATTCAAGAGGTTAATTTAAGATTCATCTTTCTAAAGAGGAGTTAAATAAAACTGATAGAAGGTTGAAACTTGTCGAGTGGTTGAGAGGTTTATCAGCATGTGAGTATGAGTTCATTAGTTTTAATTAGTATAATCACTAATGTTGCATTAACAGTTTGGTGAGAGAAAGTAATTGCTCACACCCACTGTATTAGATTGGGAGATTAGAATACGTTTTATGAGGCAATTAGCATTTCAGGGATTTTTAAAAGGCTTTTACAATCTGCCGTTGCAGTAGCCTCCTTCACCAAAGAGTTTAAATTAACCACCACTTTCATCCTAATGGGATGCAAAAATTAATGTAGAATTAAGTGTGAACCAGCAATCCCACCGTGATAAGCAGGCAGCTAAAGCCACAAACCTCGATTAGTTTACAATGACCTGTTTTATTTCCCAGAAAATGATAGTCATTTATCTATCCTCAATTCATTATCTTCTGGAAAAGTTTATATTCTTGGGTTTTATGCAGCAAAACAGAATAGGAGGAAGGGAAAAGTGGAACAGTACTATTAAAGTAATAATTCTACGAAGAAAAAGCTGTAAGGTTCAGAAATAGGACTTAAATAGTCAATTATTCCTTATACCAAATGTAAGAGGAAGAAGAAACAGTTCCCTTTGACACCCAGTGCCTTGGGATGAACCATGAATTTCACAGCAGCTGTAATCACAGCCCTGCTCTGCCCATCGTGCCTCTCGCCAGCTACTGACAAAATGGAGGTCCAGGACTTGCTCATCCTGGTTGGGAAGGGAGCCCTGGTTATCTGAAAGCTGGGATAGTTGACCCAAGAGATTGCTTTCCAAAACATCCTGGAAAGCAAACGTGCAAGTTCTGGTGAGAAAAACTGCTTGCAGTAGGAATGCTTACCCTCGTGTCATGGCTGTGATGAAAAACATTGTGGTAGCCATGGAGAAATAACCATTTACAAGATATCTGGTACCTATTGTACAGGATTATGCCTGTCCTTCATTAAAACAAATCTCTGCTCAAAAATATCTGAATAAAGCCCAAATCTGCTATGATTTGATTGTGACATGGAGGAGAACGGCTGTTAGATGTTAGAACTGTCCTGTTGTTCTTGCAATTTTGGGTACATGTGTTAAAATGAGCAGACATGGTGCAGCATCCAATGAATAATATAAATCTTCCTAAACATGTGTTAAAGCAAAAGTACAATGTATGTACTCTTAATTCTAATAGTCCTTATAAGCATCTCCAAAGGAGTTCAGAGGGAGACAACGTATTCCTACAGTTAAGTATCTAAAATTTAAGAACAAATAGACAGATTGGATCTCAGCTTTGGTCACTTTGGCAGCAGCCAGTGCCACCTTTAGGAGGTGAATTACTCCAGTTAAGATCTGAATTCATCACTGGAAAGGGCTGCCTCCCTCTATTGACTGCAGAGGCAGCCCAAGATAACCAGCTTTCTGTCTTGGGTGGCTGAAGTAAATGCTTAAAATTGGGTAGGATGAATCATGACCTGCATGCCTGTGCCTTAGGGTTTGTCTATGCACAGTTATTGCAGAGAGCCATTATTCTTCCTCAATAGCATTACATGAAGATACACTTTTGGTTGGGTAAGTCTTACTCATTTCTCTCCAGCAACATCCTCTTTGACAGAGGCAGAATGGTTTGATTCGTAGTCCTCACGTGGAATTATTCTGCAGGAGCTGCTGCCTTTTCAGCTACCTGCCCTACCTTAATCCAAATTTACTTTAGTGTAGAAATGCCTTTAATTTGCAATCCATCCAACTTTGAGAGCCATTTAAGATTTATAGATGCAAGTACATCAATTAAGCACAAGTCAGTTGGGGGGGGGGGAAAGAATGAAGGCATTGTATACAATAAAACCTGACTTTTATTTCACAAATTATGGGTGTTATAAAGCATATTGTTTCAGGAGAAATGTCTGTATTTGCCAGTATGTTTCATTAAAGAATAATAAAGCCATACATATTTCATTTCCTTGTTCTGAGCTGCAAGAACCTTAACTATATAAAATGCCCCATGCTGTCCTTGCTTTTTTTTTTTTTTAATCAGATTTTTCCCCCCAAACTAATGAAATCACCCTTTAAACACATACATCACTTTCATTTGAAGTGGCTTACCATGGCTCAAATGGTTTCTCTTTTCTTCTGGAGAACAAGGCAACTGCCAGCACCTTTTGTTGTGCAGATCCTGGCCTGGATTGCCCCTGATCTCAGCCTGGTTCCTGGTGTTCCCACAGGTGCTGTGGGATCTTGGGTGGCTAGTGTCTGCGGGGTCTGCACCTTGCATATCTGCCCTGGTTCCTGGTCCACCTGCTAACACATGGAATTTCTCTCTTCCCATAGTATGCACCCACCCGCTGTGCAGCTGTGCAGGCGTCCGCGGAGCAAGGGGTCCTTCCTCCTTGCCACCACCACGAAGCAGTGCACGACCCCCAGCTGGTTCCCTGCACGTGCCCGCTCTTCTCTTGCCCGTGGGAAGGGCACCTGGAGGTGGTGGTGTCCCACCTGAGGCAGACGCACCGCATCAACATCCTTCAGGGGGCAGAGATTGTCTTCCTGGCCACGGACATGCACCTGCCCGCACCAACGGACTGGATCATCATGCACTCTTGCCTAGGCCACCAGTTTCTGCTGGTCCTCAGGAAGCAGGAAAAGCATGAGGGCCACCCCCAGTTCTTCGCCACCATGATGCTGATCGGCACGCCCACCCAAGCCGACAACTTCACCTACCGTCTGGAGCTCAACAGGAACCAGAGGCGCCTGAAGTGGGAGGCCACCCCCAGGTCCGTGCTGGAGCGTGTTGACTCTGTCATTTCGGACGGGGACTGCCTGGTGCTGAACACTTCCCTGGCTCAGCTCTTTTCCGACAACGGGAGTCTCGCAATAGGAATCGCAATAACCACCAGCAACGTGCACAGCGCTGAAGCCGAGATGTGAGGGGGAGGAAGAGGAGAAGCAGGAACATTGGTGCTCTAACTGCCTTGTGAGAGCCAGAACTTGTGGACTTCTTTCTGGGGGGGGTCTCAGGTATTTTATGGTATTTAGTACTTGTCCACAGTGGGCATTATGTAAACATCCTGTGGTTACGGTCTCTGTGTGATGTGTTTACTGTTTTGTTAATACAATTTTATGAGAAATTTTAAAGAGGCTAATCAATTTATTGTCACCCTCCAGCAACACTGGGAACAACACTTTCTCCTTGAAAGGACACCCCAGGTGACTCATAGAAACCTTTGGTCCGAGTATGATATGCAAATGTGTTCCCTTCATTGTCTGCCTAATTGCCTGGTATTAAGGAGGCCCATGTGCCTGGTAAAAAGCACAGGGGCCTGGTAAAAAGATAAAGTACAAGTGTATCCAGGTTTCCATTCCAGCAATTGTGATTTAAATCTTACTCAGTGAACACAACTAACCCAGGGAGCTTGAAGTCTCAGAGCCCCCTTTAGCTTCTGAGGAAGCACCCTTCACCACCCAGACAATAAAAGCTTCAGAAGAAGAAGTCACCACCTCTACTTAGCCAAGGCGTAGGAAACCTCATCCTGCATTAAACTGGGGATGGCAGCTAGTGGGTGGTCACTGTGAGCATGGTTAAATCTCACTCTTTTATCATGATGGGTAGTGAGAGGCTTGCTAGATGGTCTGGCTCCAGGGTGGATATAACCACAGCCAGCCATCAGGGCATTCAACTTTTTAGCTGCTATTTCCTTAAGCATTCAAAAAGAGATTTTCAGAAAATAAAGTATCAAGAGAGTCCTAAGTTGTGTACTGCTACTGATCTTGCTATTGAATTCTTAGACCCACAGTGTGTGTTGCTAAATATCAATTTACAACGCAGCCAGAATATCTGTGTGCAAATTGGCCACGAGGTTTGAAATGCTCTCCTTTAAAAATAACCTTATTTTTTTCTCTTCCATACACCTGGGGGAGTGGTGATGGTCCCTTTCTTCTGCTGAGGGTGTTTCTCAGACAGCGACGGTCACAAGAAGGCACAGGCTTTGCTAAGAGCTTCTCTCTCAGATGTCTCAGAGCCAGAGGCAGATGCTGGCCATCTCCTGACACTCCCATCTGCAGTCAGGCATGTTTCCTCCACAGCCAAGAACAGCAGTGAAATCCCAGCACAACAGGTGACATGTCAGAGGAGGGGGCTCTCCAGGGACAATGACACATGAGAAGCATGGGAAATTGTCTTTTCCTGTTTTCCCTCCTGCGCCTGTGTGTTTGTGGCCTGGCTGCTCCTGAATGCATTTTTGAAAAACATCTGGTGGGTTGGGTCAGTTAGTAGCTACAGAGCATGAGGCTCATTCCTTGAATCTCTTGGAAACCCAAGGAAGGAGGGAATGTGAGCTAAGAACAGTCTTTCAAGACTTTCAAAAGGCATCTCTCTGTTGCTAGCTTTGGGCAGGCAAAAACACTGATCTAATCACTAATCTCTCCCACCTGCTGCTCTCCTGGGAACTATTCCAAAAGATGCGTAAAGTGCGACGAATTGCAGTTTTCCTGAGATGAATGCTAGGCAGGTAATGCCTTCTGAGTTGCAAATGCACCTCTTCTCCTTACTTGGCCTTCGTAGCAGATCACCCCTCCAAGAGGAGCTAGGGTCTCTTTAACAGGCTGCTCGTGACCACTCAAGGTGAGCTCTAAAGAAGTCTCAGTTCCTTTTAGAGCATCCTTCGCAGCTCTCCCACCTCGGGTTTGGGGGGCCAGGGCAACGTGCTGCTTTGCAGTGCTTCACTGGAACACTCAGGCTTCAGAGTGGCTTTTTCCCTGACGTGTTAAATATTCAGAACCAGCAACTGCTGCCCTTTCCCTAAATGATAGCAGTAAATAAATCATTGGCATTTTTGTGGACTGAAACTGGCTTCTCTAGCTCCTCCGGCAAATATTCTGCTGTGGAATTAAAGAAAAAGCAATAAAACCCCAATAGAAACGGTTCCTCTAGCTCAAACTTCCTGAGCTCTTTCTACACTGTGATAGGGACCTAATGTAATGCTGCTTTTGTTGCCTGATCACAACCAGTTCTAGGGGGAGGGGTACTCCTTGGGTATTCATTTGTTCCAGGCTATTTACATCTTGCTAGTTGGCATCTTTTATTCTTTAAATATCTACTGCAAAGAAGAATGGGCTGTCAGGATTTTTGGACATGCCTCTCGCCAAAGGACAGATGTATTTCCAGCAGGATCAGTGTGACAGCAACAGTTCTCAGGGGTTGGGCATCTCCATCCCTTGCCAGAATCCTGTTGTTTTGGTTTTGATGGGGTGGGAAGCACAGTGGAAACATCACCTCCCTGACACAGACCTCCTCACATTCCATGTGTCCTTCTCCTAGAGCTTTCTCGTGGCCACACCAACCGTTCAGCATTTCCTTCCTAGTCCTCCCCCTCATCTGGTGGCCACCCTTCTCAGCCCATTCTAAAGCTCTCAGCCTGGGTTTTACCCTTCCACTTGCAGAGCCCACAGTGCTTCCTGCCTCCTCCCACTTTTGTCTCTTGGGTGCAACTGTTTAAATTATTCTCACTGCTCTTTGCAGCCAATCAAGTAACCTACTTTCTTGGGTCTCTCCACAGCTGCAAAGCCCCAGCTCTGGCAGAGATTTCAGAAGTCCATATGGGTTGGATTGCTGATTAAAATCTGCCCAGTAAGACTCCCAGTAGTGAAAAAGAGAACACATTTGGGGGGGAAAGGAGAGATGGGTACCAAAATCCAGCTTTCATAAGCATCTCAACATAAAACCCAAATGTTCAAGGGTGTATTTAAGGAACTTTTATTATGGAAGACATTCTAATTCTGTCATAATTCAAAGCCTGTGAGCGACCCTTCACTGCCATAAAGCAAAGGTGAAGCAAATATGCTACATGGTGAGACATAAATCCTAAAATGCTGGCAAGTAGGACCAACAATGAAATTCAGTTTGCATGCACTCCTTCAGCGTCCCTGATATAGCACTTTTTACAGCTCTCTACTCGTGGTTGAAAGGCCGCTGTACCTTGGCTTTTCAAATTTGGGCTGAAATTGGGGGTTCTAGAATTCATTTCATGCTCTAGCATTTTGCATCTCTATGAAGTATTATACCCAGTCAATCCAAATTTCTTCAAAAAAAAGTGAAGAACACAGCCTTACATCTCCTTGAAGTAAGGAAGCACATTGAGTGCAGGAGAAAATGAGGTCTTTCAAAATTGCTGTGCAGGTGTTGCAAAATCCTACCTAGCTGAGAGCACTGTTCCCTCTTGATTTAGTTTTGTTTTATATATATATCTTTCGGGGTTTTTTAGAACTTTAACATATCTGTGCTCATGGATGGATTTTGTTGTGCCTAGATTAGTAAATTGCACCAATAATTTCATCAGGCTGAGATGGATGGATTGCTACCATACCCACTAGAAAACCTGCTTTGGTTCTTCTGCACTATCCATCAGACACAGTGTGAACGTTAATGTCAGATCTGCAGTAAAACAGCATTAGTGCTTTCAGCTCAATCCCATTATGAATTAAGCTCACATCATATATCCATGTCTCCTTATAAATCAGCTGAAGCATCCCAAGTCTTGTCATCTTGAAGATGACAAAAGATCTTGCTGTACCAGTGCTAGCCAGAGGACTTGCTGAGGAGTAGGGCTGTAGTCCTTCCCACTGGACTGTGGATACCACATCCTCCATTTCTTACCATCCTTTCTGAATACAGGCCAGTAAGCTACTGAAGAAAGGAGGGATGGTAAATTCTGGACAACTAAAGTTTTATAACAAAATTAATTGTTTACAGTAAATTGCTGGATACTGTTACGTGGCTCTCTCTTTTGGGCATGAGAGGAATTAAACTCGATTAACAGTACTGTAGTATAGATGATTTATCTGCTTTTCTAGCCCATAACACATCTGAAAAACACTTTGAACAGAGAAGAGTCTATTAGAACAGACTCAGAAGTGTGCTTCTGCTGCAGCTGGATTAGAAACACCTTCTCACATGGAGGAACTGCAGCTTCTGAACTTTCAGATGCAAGGATAAGTTTTTTATCTTTTTTTTTTTTTTTTAATCCAATTAACTCTGCAAGCTCACACGATCTGAGGGAAGGGCAGAAAGCAAAGATTGCCACATGTACCATCACCAGAATTATTAGCACAAAAAGATGATTGGCCTTCTGCAGAGATGACCCTGTGGAAAACGAGGGGGTTTCACAGCAGGGAAGCACAGGGCAGCACCTGAGGGCTCTGCAGATGTGCACTCACAACTGAGGGCAGAGCTCAACCCCAGGGCAGAAATATTACTCAACAGAAACCACTTGGAGTAGGGTCACAACGAGGGCTGCCAGGAGAATGATGGACATCCTGAGAGCAGTAAACCAGTGAGGAGCTGAGGGTCTATGCAGACACGTGTCTCTTGAGAGCAGCAACTTCCACCCAGCAAAGGAATCTCTCGTCTCCTGGAAGCCTTGTCTTGGGAGCAGTGCAGATGAGAAGATCAGCCCTTGACACTGTGGGGATGCATGCAGGTGGCCCTGACACTGCACAGTGAGTGCAGACGTGAAGCTGCCACCCTGCCCCACATCCCCTGTGGTTTTGGTGGGTACCCAGCTACCTGCAGCTGCCAGTGGTTCCTTCAGGCCCTCTTGCCAGACAGTTTTGTTGTCTTTCACCTGTAAACTCACACCAAGGCACAAAAGTATGTGCTGAAAACCACCCAAAAAAACCGGCAGAACATTGAATTAAACCTCTACCCTTGGTTAGGATTATGATAAATCATTCCTTCTCTCCCCACAAGGTCAATAGGCCAATACGTAGCTTTTTTATCCCATTTTGGGTTCTGCCCCTCCAGAACATGCACATAGAATCATAGAATCATAGAATCTTAGGGGTTGGAAGGGACCTCAAAAGATCATCTAGTCCAACCCCCCTGCCAGAGCAGGGTCACCTAGAGCACATCACACAGGAACACACAGGTGGGTTTTGAATGTCTCCAGTGAAGGAGACTCCACAACCTCCCTGGGCAGTCTGTTCCAGTGCCTTCAAGAGAAGGGTGAGGACTAACATTCATTTCAAAAATGACTTTTCTTTCAGTGCTTTCACAAACTGATGCCAGGCTCCAAAAAAAGAACCTAACAAGCATTAGTGGGAAGCAAATGAGAAACACCAATTGTAAAGCTTG